CAGTGGCGCATTCAAGGGAGGTAGGCAACCGCAATTGCCCACGTTTTACTACCCATTTAATAAATATTATAAGATTAACATGAAGTGTTTATACTACAGCTGTAGTAATCGGTATGGAACACTGCCTTAATATGTTGAAGTATTTTATTGATACTTGAACAAGTATAAATTATTAAACTATTAAAAATTAATTAAATTATGTATTTCAATACTTTTAAAAAGTTTTCTCGGCAAGACGGCTAATATTAGGCATTAAAATAGATACTTATATTATATTAAGTGTTTAAATTAAATGTTCTATTTTGTTTAGTGATTAAAATTTAATTAGTGCCACCAAAGTTTTCAATTGCATTAATTTGGATTTGTATGTGCAATGCTTAAATTGAGATAACAATAAAACTAATTTGAAAATTGGCTTTTAATTAATTTATAATTTTACTGTTCTATTAAATCCTTCTCCTTTGTTACTCTTATTATCATAATAAAGTTCTCTATTTCTGTAAATAGTTATTAATATCTTTACATCAGTGTTATCCTTTTCGTCCTTTATTATAATAAATAGTTCAAATATGAAGCTTTTTAATATATTTGTTAAATAGGTTAAACACGTGGCTGTGAACTAAGATGGGCCAAGGTTCAGCACTTTACTAAACATCCATCGTACAATATGATTTGTTAATGATGTTATAGATAGATTTGCAACTAGGTATCAAAAAAGAAAAAAAATTATTTTGTTATATAACATAGTTAATGTTTGGCTTTTTAATTTTTTACTTAAGTATAGTACATTGTATTGATATAGGTTGATTCAATGTATTAAAAGTGATTTGTTAATATTTTGGTCAATAATATTTGTTTTTTAAGCTAAGGCCCCCCCCCACTGAAAGCGATTTGCGTGTGAGCGATTCCGCGATTTTACACGCCAGATGTCCACCACATAGGCGGAGATTTCATTAATTTTTTTGGGGGGGGGGGGCTAGCATTTTTCTATCTAAAATGACCAGCAAGGGATTTACACTCCTAAATTATTAATATATAATACTATATAACATTACAAATGTATAAATACAAATCATAATAATTATAATATAATATTTGTATATTATTTAAGTAAATACATATTATTTTAAGGCAATGTACCTATTCTTAGATCCAAATATATCAATAATTTTTTCTTCATTAATATTTAAATCGTTTTCAATGTATAATATGGATGAATTATTAAATCTGTCTTGCAACCATGTCTTAATTTTGCGCATAGCTGAAAAGCTGCGTTCGCATGTAGCTGAACTAATTGGCAAAGACAAGGCGACTTGAAATAATTTGAATAAGCTGGGAAATACATTTAGGGTTAGAGCCTTTTGAATTTTATCAATATTTATTGCGTTTTTTGAAAAATGTATAACTTTATTTAGCACTTGAATTAAAATTAAATGATAACAATATCAAAAACATTGTTATAATGTTTTGCCGTTTTGGAACTGAAATAATTTTCATAATTTTAGTTTTTACTCCATTAATTAAGGAATTTATTACTTTGATGAGTGATCAAATAATTGCGGGGGCTATTGATAATTTTGGGGGTGCTAAGCACCCCCCAATCTCCGCCTATGGTCCACCAGCGATTTTAGTGGGGACACTTTAGCGTTTTTTTATGTCGCGCGTGTTCATTTCTACATTCATTTTCTAATGTATTTTAGGTCATTAACATCCGAGCTCTATTTTTATTTATTTTATTACTAGTATTAAAACATATAATTTATAATAACTAATTTAATAAACATAAATATATAACATTAAATAATTAAATGACCATCAATTTTATCAATTTTAAGTTTTTGTCCTATAACAGAACTACAACATCTCAGGACTTTGTTTCGATTTCTGTGGTCTAGGTGTCTTGGATTCCATATGGGTTCTTGTAGGTATACAGCAGCAGCAATTTGTTCTGACAGAATCGACGATGATACCATTTTAACAGCGATTAATCGCCGAAAATCAAACAATTTTGTTTTTTCAGCGATTCTTGCGCGTGTAGCTAAATTCGTAAAACGCTACACGCGGTCAGTGGGGACACTACATATTTATTTCTATACTGTTGATAAAATCGCTAAACCGCCAACACGCAAATCGCTCTCAGTGGGGCCTTAGCTTAATGGTTAAAAAATAAACCCTACCTCGCCCAAGATGAATTCTTAAATAAGCTACTGTTTCGATTAAAATCTAAAATGTGGGCACTATAAATATTAATTTACTGCACACTATGTAGTAAAATACACGTGTAAGATGATAATGCCAATATATTTCATACTTGAAAAGGCTAAAAGAATATTTATAGGGGAAATATATTGTGTATAATATTGAAAAGTGACAATAGTTTAGTAATAATAATATGAAGTCTAAGTCAGTATTAGGAATTCGATTGCTAATTATTTATTTCAAGACAATATGAATATTTTATTATTTCCGAAATCGATATTAAATTACTCTAATTTATTTACCGAGGTTCGAAGATAGCACAACAATTTTAAGGGACACAAGAGCAACTATATAATTCACCAGAAAGCTCTTAACAGTCATTGTACCCTTGTCAAACCTTCTAGCGAACACCAACGTACTTGGGTAACTCGTGATTATTAACAAATAATCTTAAAACTCTAGTGATAGGTTTGAAACGGCCAATGGTCGTTTAAATCATTTTGAGTAAAACAAAACTGTATTACTGAATCCTTTATCAAAAAACTCCCTTTATTTTATTAAGCCCCACATTATTACTCAGTTTTAGTTATAAATTAGAATTAAACGAAAAATTGCCTATACTAAACCTCTATCCAGTGGACCTGTCTCGATATTTAGCGAGGGGAAAAGTTAGGCAACCAAATAAACCTTTCGTTAATTTATCCCGCTTTGAATAAAAATGTATTTTAATAAAAACATAATTCAATTTTACAAAAAAAAAACTTAGAAATGAACAATTTTTTCAGTTAAATTGCCAATTTAAATTAAACGTTAATAATTACATAAATTATGTAAATAATAGACAAGTTCATAGAGTCTTAATAGAGTTAACATTATGATTATGTTCATAGTTCTCGTTTTAGAGCATCATCATAATGTTTAAACTATATAAGCATCATTTTTCAATATTGTTATTTGCTATATAAACTAAATTATTACTCAAAAACATTAAGTACACACATTTTATATTGTCAAAAGTAATATGTTTTTGTTATTATAAAAATAATATTATGAATTTGTAAAAAAACTATTCCTAATTTTTAAGTTGTTGTAGCTATTCAGTAGATTTTAGCTTCGGTGAAAAGTTATTTTTTTTTCTAAATTCATTCTATACACTACAAACACATTAAATTGATGTATACATTTGTAAACTGTTGTTTTTCTATAAAAATAAAGCGATTATGGAAAAATATTTGCTTAACATTAATTTTTTTTTTTTATTATAGCTTGGCTTATGACGGTAAATTAAAAAAAAACTTTTCAAGAACACAAAACGAGAAAGAATGTTACTATATTTAAAATTAACCTAATAAATAAGTTCAAAACAAAACTCGTGTTTGTCTGGCGAAATCAGGAAAAGTATTTTTAATTATTATTACTTAAAAAAACTAAAAATTTTTAAGAAATTTTGTTTAAGGCATAAATAAACATTTTTGTTTGCGTTTCTTTACATCATAAAATTACTAAAATATTCACCTTTTTTAGAATTTTCGAGGGCTCTAAATGGTTAAGTAAATATTTTAAAACTTTTTAGGTTAAAAACATTTTGACGAGTCTATATAACCAATTTTGGATACTTTTAAAGTAATTTAAAATTTAAGACTGGAGGATGAGTGGAGTGTAAAATTATTTTTATCTGCACGCACTACTCAACCTCCAGTCACCACATTTAAACTCTAGAAACTTAAATAATTATAACCCAACACCAGTTATCGACCAGTCAAAATGTTCAGCTTACTATTCTTAATTCAATTTCATTAAATTTCTTTGTTACTGAAAGTTAATAAAGCTCTAAAAGTAAAGAATAAAGAAAAGAAGATAACAATTTTAATATTGTCAAATATGGTGTCTCCAAAAAAAACTACAAAATTACAATTATTTTAAGAGAAAACGAGTGTGTTGTCCTTAATAAATCACCATGTTAAGTTTTCTTACTTCTTATCTTGTAAACTAAATATTTATGTATGATAGCTATAAAACTAAATTGATCAGTACATTTTCAGTCTTCAATTCACTGTTTTGCAAAATTATTATAAAAATAATAAAATTAACATAAATCTCAAATTTTGTAATTATAATCAGAACTTCTGTTTTTATACTACTTTTATTTATTTTGATATTACCGACGTCTATGACACACAATAGTGTAAGGCATTAAGCTTGATAAAAACTAAATGTAAAGGCTTGATTTCCGTGTCACTACTAAACAGAAATACTCCGTCCAAAAGCTGCTTAATTTGGGAGAGCGTAACAAATTAGAAATAAAATCTTAGAACATAATATGTATGTATCAATAGGTGTTGAGAAACTTAAGTGTGTTTGTACCAATAGACAATACGTAATGGTTTTTTTTTCTTATTAAATAAACAAAATACAATATGATTGAAATTAAACCTATGAAAAATGCTGTTTAAGTTAAAACTATATTTAAAATTAGTAATGCTATTAAAAACTTAATCATGATCCTGAATAATTTTACTAAACCACATTTTTCATAGTTAAAAATTTACCGCAACAATATAAATATTACAAATTTCGATTTTTTAGGTACCTATTTATATAAATTTAACCGGTATACTAACATTAAATTTTATACATTTGTTGTTGTTTATAAATTTTAATCATCGGCTAATTATGACTTTTATCAAACACTGATTTGTGATAAAAAAAAACCCTACCTAGCGCTTAAGGCATGCATTTATTTATAGTTACTCAATTTAAAGAAGGAATTTCAATAATTAAAAAAAAATTGTTCATCAATATGATGTATTATTTTAATTTTTATTAGACATGATATTAGTTGTCGTATCGTACAAATCAATCAGGAGTAATATATATATATATATATAAAAAACACATCACTCGCTAGCAATGCTAACTTCGGCAATGACGCCGGGTTCGAGGTTTACGCTGGTGATTTGCTTTACTTTGTCACTCGGGCATTTTAAGTCAATCACCCTTTTATGAATACGCATTTGGAATCTGTCCCATGTCTTAGAACCTTCACCACAAGGCGTCTTCCTGGTGGTAATGCGCAAAAATTTCGTAGGCATGCGTACAGGTCCCTTAACTGGTAGTTTCCTCTTCTTGATATCAGCGATCATTTCGGAACATACTAAAAATTTATAAAATTGATGAAATTCAGAAATTAATTAAAAATATCTTGCTACACTCACCACTTTCTAAACTCTTAATGTTTTTGGAAGTAAGTGTAATACGGATCTTGTGTCGCTTTTGATCTGTTGGTGGGTTCTCTACATCTTTAAATTCTAGATCCTAAGAAAATACAATAGTTCAATATTAGTACAAATCTTTTAAAAATGTAATTTGAGTATTGACCAATGAATTGTTTGCCTTCATTCCTTTAGCAATAAGTACAAATATTCAATTGCATTAGTTGGAATTTGCTACAAACGTAAGCAATCGGACTACATTGTAGAAACGGCTTATAAATTTTATATATATATATATATATATATAAACTATAAAATTTAATTTGTTTTAAAACCTATTAATATATTGGTCAAACTATAACGGAGGGTCAGAGACTTTATACATAGTTCCTATTACAATCATTAATTTGTAAAGTATAACATAGTTTAGTAAATGTTTAAAATAGTATTCATACTTCCAAAGGGACATTAGAAACAATGGTGGTCTCATGGTTCACTCTTTACCATTTCTCTTAAAAAAAAAAGATAGGTAACTCTAAAATTAAATTATTGCTGGGACAATATTATCATTATGTTTTATTATACCAACTATATCTAAACGTACACCCACATAATACATATTAGGTTTTTATAAATCTTCTGTTGTTTAATATGACATACGTTAACAGTGGATAATTTTTTGAAACAGGTGGACAAATTATACGCAAACTTACTTAATAGTTTGGGTGCATTTATGGGATAGGACGATGTTAGAATTTCAGTACGCGGGATATGTCTACCTTTGGTTCAGTTAATTAAAAAATAATTTATTTACAATAATAGTTAGGTATATGAAGGTACCTTCATAATTATTCTTTAAACATCATCTCGGTGATGCGTTATGAGATACATAAAAGATAAATTATCGGTTATTTAAACATGACATTCTTTATAACTTGTCACAAGATTGTATCTAATCGATGAATTCTTTTCGGGCAACAGGTAATATCTGATCTACGGGTTTGATAGCGCGAAAAATAAGACAGCATGTTATACAATTTATATATTTATCTTTTCGACTTCCGTACACAATCCGAAAACACCTACATACAAATCAAATAATTTGACCCTTAACTAATACAACCAAATAAAAAATATACCGCGACATCGTTATCGTTTGGTCACAAAGTGTTGCCAAACGTACTTGGACAAACTCATTATAGCAAATTGATTACTCGTGATCAACACTAGTTGTTAAAACAAAATAATTAAGAATTAAATTTGCTATTAAGACACAAGACCTAAGTAAGCAATGCTCATTGCCGCCACACCAGCCGTGCTTCTTCGGTTAGAGTATTTAATGTTGTAAAATTGAATTTAACTCATTTTCCAAGTACTCACCATGTTTGAATTGGAAAATTTGAATCGTTCGACAAATGACAAGGACACAAATTGACGCGAATACTTGCGAAAACTAAAGGTACGAACGGGAAAAATCTAACGTGGAAAGTACAAGCGAGAAAGACTGTCCGACCGATTTCTAGGTTATGTTGATGTTGGTCTATGGTAGGAGATGCTCATATCACGATGTTTCGTGCCACACCGCGGTTATAGTAGACGTACAGTGTAGCCAACATGATCAACATAACGCGATATTTGTACAATTATTATTGTACACAATTATGTAATTCGAGAATGTGGTGTAAATAAGTGATTAGTGCGGAATACTGATTTGATAATTACACTGTTATAATTTGGACAGTACGTATTTACTATTTCTCAATTTTTAGCGATGAAATTATTTCTGTAAATGTGTTAATTTGAAATTTGAATTGACTATAAACCTATAATAATTCTTTTATCAATTCGATAACAGAATTATAACATCATAGGCTGATAATTTATGTACAAATTAAATTTAAATATAATCTGTTCACCCTACCTATTATAAAAAAAAATGAATAACATCAAACATTTTTAGAAAACGCTTTGATACTAATCTGGGCGGTTAAAAAATACTATGCTTAGCCCTTAGGTAATATATTGGCATTGCACACAATAATGATATTTATTTTATTTTTTAATAATTCTGGTTTCCCGGTCAACATGATTGATTTAATCAAGAAAAATATAACCTTAATTTCTAATGCCGAACTGTAATTATTATGTGTTTAAAATATTATATTGTCATTGGCGCAATTTTGTATTCTGTTAATATAATTTTAAAACCTTATTTTACTGTTACATCTTACATAAAGTATATCACTATTATACTATGAGGCCAATTAAATGGCATGACTATTTTTTTAACTAGCTTTGCCTCATTGCGAGTACCTTATTGTATTTACCTATTAATTATTATTAAAAAACTATATTTCAGTTCCAGTCATTCGATTCATTCTTTCTTTTCTTATTAGAATAGACAGCTGGTTAGTGGTTAATAATTATAAAATAATATCCTATTATATAAAGCGATTAGCAATTTATTAACGTATAAAAAGTATTTATACATTGTTTCTTTAACATATTTCAAAAATATTTTATCTATAAACATTTAAATCTGTTGACGGTCATTGTTTCAAAATGTTTATGCATGTGTTTTCGTGTGTTTTTTAAGAAAAATCATAAGTAGACATAGCGGCGTAAATTTCACATATTCTCCAGAAAGCCTTTTAAAAAAAAATCAATTTTCAATTGGTCGAATCAATTCTGCGACGTGTTATTTTTGATAGTGAAATAATATTTTCAAATCTTAACTGCAAATTGACAATAATTATTAAAAAATGAGTAAATCATTTTTAAAAAAACAACACATAATATATTTTATTATAAAATTGGAATTATATTTTTCGGCTCAATAATTATTTTATTAATAACAACATGTTTACATATATTTATGTATTATGTATATTATATTATACTCTAGAACTGTTTGGCAATAGGCGCAACTATCAATAATATAATACAAAACATTAATAGTATTGTAATCTTACAATAATTTTAAAAGCATCAAATTAACGCTGTACAATTATTTTCTCAAAACTTGACTATGATAAATAATACAGTTTGTAACATATTATACAGAGTTATACAAATTATGGTTGCATTTTATAAAAACTATTAGAGGATGACTATTTATGTGATGCGCATTAACAATTATTTATACATCCTTTATAAATTAATGTTAACTAAAAAAAGCCATAGATTAGGTTTACTTTAACATAAAAAAAAAACTTTATAATATTCTACAAGTTATGAGTTATAATGTAGGTGAAAATTAAATTACACTATATCAAACTGACGAGGAAAATTAAATTAGCCGATATAATTTTAGTTACTTCTTATTAATAAAACAAATTATGAAGTTCTAGGTTGAAGGAATGTTTTGAACAATTGATATATACCTATTTCGTATAGATTTTAACTCTTGTGTTGCATTAAATACGTCATGATTTTATGTAAGTGCGATAATAATAATAATAACTCATTGCGTTTAGTGAAGCAAGTAAGACTTTGTTAAGTTGGTCATAGTTTAGATTTTAAGCAGAATGATAATTTTCTTCCCAACATTGACACAACGAAAAAAATGTACACTAAAATATTTTAGAAAGGAAATTAACAAGTAAAATGCAACTAATAAAAATTCGATATTTTTTAGATAGAAATAACACATTTACAAAAACAATAGTACAATAAAAAACGTATAATGTTGAAGGGTGTTTAAAAGTATGGATACACTTCCAGTCTGTTTACAGATAACACCCGACCAAACAAATAAAAAAGATAACAACGATTATGAGTGATAAGTTTAGTTTAACTTTGGAGTAAGGAGTAAATGCAGCATGCTAAATCTTTATTTTTAACTCAATAATCGATAACATAGACATATTATGTTCTAACGTAATGTACGTATATGACATGGTAGTTTACATAGAGTTATAACGTATTATAAATAAAATATTTAAAAAACTAAAATATTACATAAATATATTTATATTGTAACTATCCAAAATAGGTACTTAAACTTCAATAATGTGCAACGAAATTTGCAAATTTAACCATATAGCACTATTAAACAGCATCGCATGTTGTATACATTTACTTTATGGGTATTCTATTAATATGCAAATAACACAACACCTTATCGCGGCTGTCGATTAATTATTTAAAGTATATAATACGTTTTTGGTATGGTTTGTTCATAATTATATGACGTTAAGCGATTTAGGAACCGATTGAGGTTTTATTGCACACACATTTTAATATTCTACAAAATTGTTTTATTATTATTAAATTGATTAAACGATTCGCACCAATCTCAATAGGTATGGGTACCAATTGGTGGAATAATAATTAATATCCTATATAGTAGGTACTTAAAAACTAGTTACTAAACCTTGGTTATAATAATAATTTATACTTATTAATAATAATAGAAGTAATAGGTAATACATTTAAACGTATTAATTTATTTAAATCAGTCGATTATTAGTCTATAAAGTGAACTAGGTATAAACAAAACACTTATGTATTTGTTATGACCACAACATTTCATTTATTTTTTAAATAATTATAACGTTTGAAGAGATCTATAGAGTGTAAATGACGGCTGATTAAATAAATTATAACGAGCAAAATATCTGAACTAATGTTCAGTTTAATAACCGTAAGTTCTTACGCTTATAACTATAAGTTTTTTAAACAAAAACAGTATATATATAAAATCATAGCATGTTTTTTGTATTAGTGTGAAACAAAGCATTTTAATTAATAAGTTTTTATAATATTTATATAATCGTAAAACATATTTTAATGCTGAGATTATAATTGTATGTACATAACTTAATAAAATTAAAAAAACACTAGTAAAACTTTTTTTTTTGTATTTAAAAATATTTGAAATGTAATTAAAAGAAAAGATTGTGCAAAACTTTGTGGTAGATAGTCTTACTGGCATGTATAAAATTAGTAACGTTGTACATTATTATACGATAATAATATATAATCGGTGGGAAATATATTTATCTACTTAAGATTAAGTATCTTATCTAACTAACAAGTCGTGTTCTGTATATTACTTATTTACAAAAAAAAAACATTATAAAAACTTAATGAGATTTTAATAAAAAGAAAAATATAGGGGGAAAATGGATAGGAAAAAAGTAAATTATCAGAACCAAAAAAAAGTATAATGGAATGATCATTTACACGTTTGACAACACTGTAGTTGGTATTGACGCAAGTGACACATGTTCATCTGTTTCACATTTTTACAACTGTGTTTGTTTTGATCTTTACAGTCGTCTTCTAAAAAAATCAAACGTATTAATTGAGCACATAATTATCACATAGAACCACTATTTAGTTTTTATTCGAAATTAAACCCAAGGACAAAATGTTTTAAAAACTTACAACAACAATATCATGTTTATATTTTTAATGACCACAATAAATCTTAGTAAAAAAAAAATGTTATTAACCTAACCGAATTTAATAATTATATTCTTTATAGGGTTTAATGCAGTTTTAATGGCGTAGCTGCCGCAAAGGCAGATGCCCAAGCAAGCTTAAATTTTAAAACTTTAAATCGGGATAGGTCTCATTGCGGATGTAGGCATTGCAAAGAAATACAAAATACACAATATTTAATATATATTGATAATATTATTATTGTTCATATTATTTACTTGGGGGACAAGCCGAGCCCGTGCAAGTCTTCATAACAGGAGGCCTGGGTTGGTCTCGGCATGCAGTTCCGGCTGGTTTGTTAGTGCCAAACCAAACACATTGCAATATTCTATACCTTAAACCGTCTTTTTCGCAAGATGCCGTACACTAAAATATAAGATAAATCATTTTTATAAAAAACATTATACTTCGCATTAATGCAATTGCTACGAATAACAAAATCGAACGTTTTTTTTTTCATGATATTAAAACGATGACCTAAGTAAAACAGTGAATTTTAATTGAGTTATATATAGTTTATAATACAATATATACATAATACCCTTTTACACAAACCAAAGATTAATTTTCGTTTATACATAAAAAAAAAACATTGTTTTTCTAAAATTATCACCCATACACATACATATAAAATACCCACACTATGCCATCGATATTGACATATAATAGACATTATCAAAACAACTAACAAGTATGTATATAAGTAAGTAAACTTGAAAAAGTTTTAACAAACTGAGATTGACTGGTTTTTTTTCAAAATTATTATAATTCATAGTTATAATTTAAAGTAAATATTGTACAATATGTATGTATACTAACGTCTGTCCATTCTCCAACTTTCCAAGTGCCTTTGCATTGATCGTTGTAACACTCTTTTCGGTTCACCGGTTTTTCGATACCTTTACATGCTTCGTCTGATATAGTGGCTTCGTTTGAATTTTGACAGTAAACGTCTCGCCTTTGCATGGCTATGGAAATAAAAAAAAAATTCATAACCATGTATTATTGTGGTTTAGTTTGCAAGTCATCGGTTTGACGTTTACCAGTGTTCCATGTAAAACATCTGGATTCTTCACAAGGTCTCCATTCGGTCACTTTCCACTGTGGACAGTCGTCGGTTTGGCACTTTTGTATCGTCACCGGAGTCGGTAGACCTGCGTCTTCGCACAAGTTGTTGTCCACGCTTTGAGTCATGTTGTTAAGTTTAACCATACAGTGAGCGGCTCTCATCTGCAAACAAATACCGTTATCAACGCACTGTGTATACTTACATATAGACAAAATACAATAATAATCATTGTGTATTTCTTAAAAGTGTATGAAATTCTATTGTGTTTAAAATATACGAGACATGCCGCCTGCCATTGCGAAGTCGCTTACCTGGAATCCATTCCCTCCACAAGGAGGAGAGCACGTCGACCATTCGGTAATGATCCATTCGAATTTCACGCTTTTCCTATCGCCTAAAAAATGCACAACGTTTGTGAATCGATAAGCAGATACACACGTTACTTTTTATTAGAAAGTCTCAGAAATAGATTGGAATTTACCTTTACCAAGTAAAACGGCTTGACCTAGAGGGTCTTCGGTGGTAGTTACACTTCCTTTATGGTTGGTCGGTTCTTCCATAAACATTCTGTTCACTCTGGAGTTGCTTACCGAATTGCCGCCCTGAAACGGCCATAGAGCCTAAAAATTGTATTAGTGAGATTTGTCGTACGGATAGGTTAATGGTACGTACACCCACCCCGTGTTTAAGTAAATGATAAAAACAAAAACACAGTGTACTAGTTTTGCTAGGTGTTACAAAACGAATTAACAAACTAAGAAAGAACAATTACCAAACTAATACAGCCGTTACATGCAAATTACTTAATCGTAAAAATGTAAACAATGGTGGTTATAATGGATATAGTCAATTAGAAAATGAAATTAAAATATAATATTACACAAAAACACTTGGGTGCTTAGGTTTGGAAATAAATCAATAAACTATATATTAAATGGATTGTGCAGTTTTTTTTCACTGGGAAAAGGAACAATGCCAGAAGACGGTATTCTACGGTTATATTTTTCTTTCGATCTCACCTTGAGGTTAAAAAGAAGACTGTGGAGGTGAGGCAAGTTTCGTGAACTTCCGGAAGTAGTGGGTTTTGGGGAGTCGTCTAGAGCGTTTTTCTCGGATCCCTGTTCACAGACACAAATAATATTGGACTTGTACTGATCACATAAATACTACATACATAGCACAACACAAGTTATGTTTTGAAATTAGATTACTTTATTGTAATTGTAGTAGTGTGTACTGTACATAATATCTCACACAGTGGTACTTTTTTGAAAAAATATTTTAGGGAACATAAGTATGGTACATAGACGGGTTGAAGTCATATTATAATATATTATGGTTATAAAGCATTATGTATTCGAATAGGATAGTAGTTGTAATTAAGTATCACTTACTACTTGAGGGTTCGTTGAAGTCGTGCTTTGCGGTGTCGATTGCGTCGACTTTAGTTTTCCTTTGGATTTACGTTTTAACTCGCGGTTGTGTTCCCCTTTGATTCGCTCGTGGCTGATGTCGAACGTCGGATCTATACCTTGAGGGCTTGCGAACGACGGGCTTGCATCTTTTGAAAAAACCAATAATAAGATAACCATTAACCACATTAACTAATAACCTACAGCTTTGGCCATGTACAAAGTACAGTGTATAAATTTGGTAATCTGGTTGTAAAGAACGTCGCACTTACCCGTGTCTTGTTGGTTCATTGGCTTGTCTATTTCTTCAGAACTGGGAAACTCTCCAGGACGAGGCTTAATACTTATGTTCATAGTAGCTCGGACGTTGCCGGCTGAAAAGGTAACCGTACATCGATTTGTGAATTAATAATGTAATAACACTGCAATTATGTATGCAGTCTAGCAATGTTATAATCAATTCATGAGTAGCGGGGATCGTTATTCAAACGTCGTTAACCTACCGGTACAGGAATATGTTCCTCTGTCCGAATACGTGGTGGCGTGAATTTTCAACACTCCTTTTTTGGTGATCCTCACTTTTTTGCCGTTTTGCAACGTTTGACCGTCTTTGGTCCATTGGATTTTGGCCCTAAACAGATTATTGTTGCTTGTAATTTTTTTTTTATTTTCGACATTTTTTTCCTAACGGGAACTAAAAAAAATAGGCTTACCTATCGTACCTCTTTACCGGACACCGCATTTTCATTTCGACTCCTCTGTACACGGTGGCTTCTCCTCCCACTTTGAGCGTCACGTCTTCCTCCGGGCTGCCCTGCTCGTACTTCTGGGCCACGTCAGACACCATAATCGCCTCATGCACTGCACTACACGCGTTCGGATTGCACAATTTACTGTCCGGCGGCTTGTCGCCGGTACATTCCGAGTCGGGCTGGTTTATGATATGCCCGTGGGCGATTCGCTGCACGCATTCCACCACTCTAGTCTTGACGCCGCCGTTACACTTTTTACTACACTGTAACAGCAACAAAATACAATTATTATAAAAACCCGTTTGTGCCATAACCAGTGCTCCAATGAAAAAAACTACATTAGAATCGCCTGTACTCTTGTCTCCGTCATTATTATTAAGTAAATAACTAAGAGATAAATAATATTCGCTCTCTCCCTCTATATTTATGTCAAACAAATGTTGTAATTTGAAAAATTCCTTGACGTAGTAAATTATTTCTTATTTTTCTAATATTCAGATGTCGTCCCATCGACCCTCATCTATTTTAATTATTTTAAATTTGATGATATAATATTAGTACAGTATAGCACCATTGGAATCTAAACACGAGTCTAATCGTTTGAATAAAATTATTTACAGATTAATTTTAAATTAAAACAAAATAATTTTATGGATATTTTTAGTCATACAACAACAATGTATGTATCGTTGCTACAACGTATTTCGTGTACTAGTCACCAGCCAAAAAAACTCACTTTACATTAAGATTTGTGTTAATAGTTTTCTTTACTAAGTTTTACGTATAATATTATGACGATTAACCATTGACCACGTTCACTTGTTTTACTTTTATGAATTGAGCAACACAAAAATGCATAGAATTATCAAAGGTTTATACAGTGTCTGTACTTGGTTTCAAAATTGTTTCTAATCCCATTTTAACGATCACTGTAGGAGACTTGTAAAGAACGAGGTGGTCTACGACAACCGTTTGAATATTTTTAAAAAATAGTCAGAATTAAAAATATCTATGATACAAATTTAATCGATTTTTATAATCCAATTTCCGTGTAATGTTTTTAAAATAAAATGTTAATCGAAAATTGTTTACAAAAAGAGCTTTTGCGAAAATGTTTTGAAGATTATTTTTTAAAATAATGTTGTAATAACAAAAAATGTAAACAAGAGTAATTTAAAATTACGTTCAATTATACTTTAGACGTTGAGACCTAAAGCTACTATAAAATAAAATATAAATAACCCCCCCCCCCAAAAAAAAAAAAAAGTTGATATTTTGAAGAAAAATTTTTTTTCTTATTTTATACTACACAAATATAATTCAACGTTATAAAACTAATAATTTCGGTTCAAAAAAAAAGAAACAAAAAGCAATTGTCTTTCAGAGCCACAATAACAATGAAACACAATAAAACAAAATTATTTAAATTTTGGTGTTTTTTTTCTCGTTTTAGATGCCAAAGGGATTATTATTATTCGACTTTTACCTCATTATAAATCATAACTCATAAAACTATCGGTGGAATAATTTATAACAAATATGATAACGCTGTCGCTGTAATAAAACTGTGCGACTTTGACTGGTCCAATTACCATTGTGTAAATTGTAAAAAGATAACGATTTATTGGTCTCTATACGGGCTACGTTGGAAGCCGATTTTCATTAAAAAAATTCGCATTTTTCATAATGATTAAAACACAATTTGTTCACATGAAAAGTAACGAAAATTCGTAATGTTTGTCCAACACACATAACGGTCGACAGGTCGGTCGGATTTTGTTAATTCGCACTTTTCCCCTACCTTTGTCCATTCCGATGATCTCCATTCTGTCGGGCAATCGATCATGTTGCACTGTTTGCGGTCTGTCGGCACCGGCGTGGGACACATGTTGTTCGGCACGATGGCCGTGTTGCCCTCGGTCACCTCGTGTATGCAGTTGACTTCCCGCACTTGGAGCCCGATGCCGCAGCTGTGCGAACAAGGTTGAAACTCGCTGACGTTCCACCTGGGCGGACACGGTTGATCGTTGCAGGTCTGTGTCAGCACCTCGGGCTGATCGTCGCGCGAACACAAGTAGGGCGAGACGATTTTCTTGTCCTCCTCGCGGACGCAAAGCACCAGCGATTCTTGAACGCCTGCGAAACGACACCTGTGATGTATTCGATGACGATGATAATAATGGTATAATACAACGATCGTTTACCGGCAGCTAAAGAATATTTCAAACGACAATAATATAAAACCATGTAACACATTCGGTAGTAAAAGCCCAAAAAAGTTGACTACAAAAAAAAAAAAAAACGATGAAATTATAAAATAAAAACCTAGAAATGTACTACGGTCAAAGTGTAATTTCCCACTTGTTGTTTTTTTTTTAATGTTTTAGAAAATAAGTTTTGGCCATAAATGTTGTATACTATTTTTACTATAATAGAAAAATATAACTATACATACATACATAAGTATACTTGTTTTTGCTATGTACTGTATGGTTAATAAAATATTAGTTATTAATACATTTAGCTGTAAATTGCCTAAAACCAATTAATAATATTTCGGTGTCTGCCGCTACTTTAGCACACACAATTTATTTATTAACTCGGTTGTACAATATCATTTATAATATTATGCTCAGCCGCAAAGCACAGCGTTCGACTCTAGTTTAGAAACAACTGAAATTTACAAAACAATTATACTCATATTACCATAATATAATGCCTACCAATATTGTAAATAATATAGTATACTATCTTTGACAAACGCCCACACAGTAGTATTGTTACAGTAATTAATATTTTTTTATCGCCGAAAATAATTATAATAAAAAACATAACAATATTTTTTTATAATGATATTTATATAAATAAGCCATCAGCGAGTCTAACCTCCAAGACAAGAAGCACTGCAATGCGTAAAGCCCTCTCGTTTCCAAGAGTATGTTTTACCAAACGAACCGGGAGCGACTTTGGGCGGATTGAACTCCTCCGAGCTGGCGTCCGCGTACCCATCTCTTACTGATCTCTCGCTTTGGTCGAACCTTGAAAATAAAAAAAAATAAAAAAACAACGCTAAACGGAGTTGGCAAAATAAAAAAAAACCGGGTATATTTTGTTGAAGCCTAACAAATGTTCGGCGTTTACAAAAAAAATATGGGTTTTAGAGGGTTTTACTGGATTTATAAAACAAACAAAAAAGCTCCGGTTTATTTCCAACTAGTTAAGAACGAATTTCCTAATTAGATTTTGATTGTACATCAAATATGCTTACATTTTATTCGTCGGACAAGGCATGGCTAAGCACCGTTCCACCTCTGCCGGTTTAGGACCCGTGCACGCGTCATCCGTTAGCTTTGTCATGATCTGAGTGTAATCCAAATGAGCCTTGCAGTAGACCTTCCTGGTCCTGACCCCTTCGCCGCAAGTCACGCTACACGGACCCCAATTGTCCGATACGAACCTGCGCCGACAGCACTCAGATAAGTTATGTACAACGTGCATTAGAACGTATACCTAACAATATTATGTAGGCGTATACTTACATGGTGTGCGATGAAGTTTTCTGTTGGCCGACCAGCCGTTGAGCGTGGGCTAGTGAAAAACTTGTCGATTTCGTCGACCCTCCGGCGAAATCCGAGTCCGTCTCGAAGCTGTTGTCTCCTGTACATACGAGCAAAGCAAACAAACAAACTATCACGGTTAAAGAGACAACATACAAAACGGTGGTGGTGGTGGTGGTGGTGTTGCTTAAAGCAAACAAAACGGGGAACACGATAGCTGTCGTTGACAGTTAACTCGAGCTTAATAAGTCTGTGGAGTACATTAAACGGCGTATAATACAACTTTTCAGGCGCGGTAGTAGTTTGAAATAAAAACAAAAGCAATACAGCCAGTTGGGTTAAAAACGTTCTATATACAATATTGGCTTTAATATCGGCATGACTGATTCATGGTATTGCATTCAAAAGCCAATTTAGGGGAAGTCATGTCTTTTCTTATTGATCTTGTTTGAAAAAAGTATAAATACTCGAATATATTATACCGAAACTGTATTCGCCGATTTTTAACTTTTTTTTACTTGTATTAAGTTGAATGTCAAACATCGGTTTATCGTTGTTAGTAAAATAAAGACAGTTTTGAAATGCTTAATAAAAAATAATCCCAAAATGGATCAAACTGTGCGCTCATTTTTAATCTAATCGGGTTTATATTACCTTATACATAAATTATTATTAACAGGTTTGTCATTTCGGTCATGTTATTTTCTTATATTTTCTTCGTTATCAACGCCCCGAAAGGAAAGGCTTTACGCTACCATTCGCCCCGACTGGACTCGCTATTACTATTGTTTTTGATTAATTAACTTTTAATTTTGAAACGAATCTACGGTGAAATTGTTCGTCTCGTCCATTCAAATGGGTATGCTGAATAACGCCGGTCACTCGGTTTCTGTTGCCTTGGCGGTTGCCAAAATAATAAAGTGAAAAGCGTGTAGGCAATTCATTTGGAGGTCTCCGGACGAGATTTATGCAGGAAAACTGTACGCCGACAACGTACGTCATTGAATCGGATGGGTAGTACCGCACACAAATACATATATTATACTACATACACATACAACACAGACAGCAGCAGCTATGTGTACCTCCGTGTAAGACGGTTGAAATGAAAAGTGCCGTTCCCCAGGGGGGCATTGCCTAACAACGTGCGCAAGAGGATTTCGCCAAATATGTATACACACTAGGACGAGACCATTTATCTTTTTGTCGGGAAAGCTTCGGCCGGGCTTGCATTCAAACACAATGGGTTCGTCGCGAATAATAATAAGCGCGAAAAATTGTCGCACAACACACGTTTCAACGTCATTCCGGTACAGTTTAAGTATTGTATTATGACCTAGATACCGTGTTCCGTGTCATTATTACACTGCTGCATTTAACGGATACTCACGGAAACAAGCGGCGTTCGAAGTACAAGTCTGCGTTCTCCTCGGCTCGATCATCGGGTCGCAAGTCAAATACTTTTGCTTGGTCTTGCACGTGACGTTTCTTATTTGCAGACCTTGACCGCACGTGGCCGAACACTATAAGACCAAACACCAACAATACATCATGTTTGTCATTGTGTCGAAACAACAGCGTTTAACAACAAACATTAGTAAACGTTTACACGGGCGGTTTAAGTCGATTTTGCTCGATCAGAATTGGCTAAAACTATTTCAGTTCTAATAGTGATTCGAATTAGCTGTTAATTATTTACAGTTGAAGTTCGGTTGAAAGCCAACTCCGAAAGTTCAAAGAACACATGTAAAAGGATAACGATGTTAAAACTGAAATAGACTATAATATAGATAACTCAATTGGAATTGTTAAATAATTTTTCATTCCATAAATGTTTGTATTTGTATTTTATCTGAATTAATTGTGACTGAATTGGTCTTAATCCAAATTCCAGCTGATGAATTTTAAACTAATCCGAAATAGGAAAAACTATATAGATTATAGTTAATGAGCGTTTATGAGCTAACTAATTAAATTTAAATAAAGCTAAATCGTTTTAGGACACACATGTAGACGTAGACTAAATCAATTACAATTATTATAATTTATGGTTATAAAAACCCAATACATTTTTATTTGGAATAACCGAAAAAATAGGTCAATTAAATGTCCAGTTAAAGCAACTATACATTAATTGACCTATCTATATTTATAAATACATTCCAATCCAAGGCTTTACTTACTTTTGACCACTCGCCGGTCATCCATTCCGAGTAACAAGGTTGGTTATTACATTGTTCTTGCGTTTTAGGTTTGTGCCCGTGACACATGTGATGCCAGACCTAAAACATAAACAGTCGTTGTTTAAATTATTTATAATTTCACAATTTCTCATCTACCTAGAATATAGATGCGCACATTATATTTGCTTCTGTTAAGTATAAAATAATATATTTAATATCACCTTATCGATAATTAACATACTTAGTGGTTTAAATTAATAGTTATTTTGGTGTCCTTACTTGATTTTACAACAGACACGTTAACGACTGAGATCACATTTTTTGTGTTTATATGTTTATTTAAACACATTATAATATAAGTTATATTTCCAATGTTGTAAAGTTTTGCATTCGACGAACTCGATTATGATGTATTTACAAAAAATGGACAGTAAAAAAACGACAGTGTAATAATAATATTATTCTCAACGTTATTCCAAACGATTTTGAGTTAAACGATTCTCGCTTAACGACAAGGTCCTCGAAAACTGCCAAATGTTCTTTTTTTCACAATTACTTTAATATTCTTTGGTAATTCTTAATCATCTTTATTTCTCTTTTGGGTTTACTGTCTAGACTAAATAATCGTCATGGATGCGGGAACGCAGCAGGATCAATAACAAATCTGTCTGCGTGTCAGTATTGAGGAATTTAGGTAATTTGTGGTTTTCCATACCCGCCGAAAAACCAAACTTATATGTTTTTATACCAAAAACGATAATGAAGCCATAGTAATATTTTATTTCAAACCGATCATATCCAATTACGGATGTCACCCAGTTTTGTTCGTATTGCATTACTTTTTTTTTTTATTACCAGACGTTAAAATAATGATCGAGTTAAGAGGTTTAACTTTAAATAATACCCATAGATTACATTTATTTATTTGACTATATTGTATTTATATGATTTCGATAAAATAAAATAAAACTCAATAAAATAGAGAGCAAGCAAAAAAATAATCACGTCTGACGTAAAAGTTGCTTAAGGTTAAATTAGATTAAGCTCAAAATGTTTTAACAATACTCTTTTAACATACACTATAATTAATATCTCTTTTATTATTTTCACTTAAATCATTATTTTAATATTAAATATTTATTTAAGCGTTGTTGAGATTCCGTGTTTTGTTTTTTTTCAAAAACTTCCAAAGAATGTACTATAAGTATACTTTATAACTATAGCGATATTTTATTGTTAAAATTAAAATACCTATGATAAGCAAAATGAAATCAATTTTAAGTTTTTTTGTATTGGTACAAAAATGTAATTTGTTACTTGTGATTGAAAATCATGAAATTAATTTCATTTCTAATATAAGCAAACATTTTTTTTTTAAATGCTTGTATTTAAAAAAAAAGCCAGTACAGTTGGTTCGGGGCATAGTGGGGACGGAGAGGTCACAGGTCTACAGATTTTATTATAACTGAAAGTGATAAAATCACTTTTAAATTAACGCTTCGATGCGAATCTGTGGATAGTATGTTCAAACTAGTTATAGTGGTTTAGAAAATATCGTGGGACCAGCAATAATGTACTTAAAATGTAATATTTAGTCTTGTGCAGGGTGGACACGAATACGATAAGGGTTGATCGTCTGCCTATAAAAATGTATTGTCATAGTTACCCATTTATCGTAATTAACATTATAATGAAAATATTTTCATTACCCGTTGACTGTTGATTCACACACACATAGCAACCTAGAAACTGACTACGGCCAAAGTGTAAATTTACCCTAGTTTTGGGGTTTTTCTTTAATAAAAAAAAATTTGCTAACAGATTTTGAGAAAATTGTATATGTTATAGTTCCATTTTAGATCTACCTTAGGTCTAATTTTCAGATCTAAATCTCTAAAAATTTGCTTGAAAAAGTGAAATAAAGAAAAAAATTCTAACCCTTCTAAGGGAAAGGGTTCATGATATTTTTTTGTTTGTTAATGTTTATCGATAGTACTATGTTTGAAGAACAATTCATATAAATTTGGAACATTTTCAACTATTTTTAAAAAAGTTATAGAGCATCGTGATTTTAAGTTGAAAAATTTGTAAATTTTTTAGGTGTTTTTCTCGATTTTGATGGGGAAGCGGTGACTTTTTTTAATTTTTGGACTGTTGATGTATCTTCCGGGTATGATTTCTGATCTATAGAGTTGCTACACGAAGAAATCGGTTCAGCGGTTTACGAGATATCGTGGGTCCACACAAAAAAAAAAAAAATAGGTAAAAATATAAACATCTTTGTAAAAACAATACCTTCTCAGCTCCGCATCGAAGCTAAAAGTGTACGTTGTTTGCTTAATATATTTTAAATAATATGTTCACCTTAATTATCATCAAACCATATGAATCACTTAAAAAAAACAATAAAAAAAAGTGCAAAATTTTTCCTTCGGGCCGGATTTGAACCAGCGGCCTATGGATATCTGTGTTACAACGACCACTACAGTCCACCGCTCTACCAACTGAGCTACCGAAGGTTGCTCTACAACTGTTATTTTTACTAGATTAAAGTGACTTTATCGATTACTTAGCGAAACCGATCGGTTAGTATTAGAAACATATTTTCCTACTCTATTCTACTTTGTTATAGTAGTTATATAGTTAAAATAGTTTGATTTGAATGTTCAAACATAATTGTTAACTAGATTTTCAACATTTTAAATTATAATTATATTTTAAGTTTAATAAGTAAAACGTTTCCCATATGGAAAACAATTATGGACACTCACTTATCTAATTAAATATTATTATCGTGCGGATTTCCTGCATTAATTAATCTTGGATTATAATAATATATTGATTGTCGTTTTCAGCAAAAAAATTGTTTCCTTCGGGCCGGATTTGAACCAGCGGCCTATGGATATCTGTGAATTTGTTTCCACTACAGTCCACCGCTCTACCAACTGAGCTACCGAAGGTTGATATCAGTTTCTATTGCAATTTAGTCATTTAAATCGGTTTGACTTTTACTTTTACCATGGTCAATCGACCCGACCGAATTACATTCACACTCGGTTTTACATGTAAGTACAAAGCAGACCTTTCACTCGGACAGGCGACTGAGACTACCGATGAAGTGCACTTTGGAAAGTCTATGCAAAACTCCTGGATTCAGGCTTTGGCTCTCGTTTAATATTTAATATTATTTTATAAATCATTGGACATCATTTTATGGGATGGTCAAAAGATGCAACGATAATAAAAACGATAAAATATATTTTAAGTCGACCTATAGTTGCCATTGACTTGATACGTAGGTACACATCGAAAAGAGGCGCTGCATACAACTAATACAAAACTATTTAATGCCAAATAATTAATAAAAAATACAAAGGTACCATATGCCATATGGGAAAAAAATACTCTAGACTGTGTATTGTTATGAGCATAGTATTAGTTGAATAAACCAAATGAGATTACCCAACTAACACATCCGTTTTAGATGAGCAAAAACTTATTTTTTTATACAAAAATGTATTTTTAACTCAACCGGCGCCGTGATTTTATAGTCGTGTGGTAGTATATATTTTGTGTGCTTGAAGTTATATTACATAAAACATCTAGAAAAAAAAATGCTTTGTATAACACCTCGGTTTAATAATAATGTCAAGCGTACTTTGAGGGGTGAACACAATTGTATTATTATGCGAAAAACGTTTAATCCCCCATACATGACAAAAAGTATTACAGTCGAAAGACAATAATCCAAAACAAAGGATAATGCCTAAGCAATAAAAATTATATTTCTTGGGGGGTTGCAATGTTTGTGATTTTCATACATGCACGTTTTGTATGAAATCGTTTTTCGCCTATAGTATCGTTGTAAAATGTTTCCAAGGAAAAGTGGTTAACACATTTTCCACTGTATTGTAATATTATTATTATTATGTTGTCGCGGTTTATGTATTGTACTTTGAAATTGCCTCGGTAACGTTTCTTGACAAGCGGTTACTGAATGTTTATTCTTTCTATTTTTATGTAAATGTCAAATTCAATAACTGTCCCGACCAAATTTCGCCAACCTATATTGGCTGTACTGTGCCTAGTTATATTTGGCCGGGTAGACTCTATATTATCGGTATGCGGTGTAGATGTTCAAGAGTTCAAGAAATGGTCTAATGATTAGCACATAATACTATGACAAAAATGATTGTGAACGTATCGGTCATCCGAGTTTTGCAAACTAAACGAAACGGCCGTTAAAAAGCTTAACGTCGGGAAATTAATTAGCTTTTGTTGTTTTGGTGGAGAATAACAATTGTTCTAGTGTAGGCAGTTGAACAATGACTTGAACCCGGAAAAGCTGAAATAGTAGAGCGCAGGACAAAGGGACGTGACAGAATACTCTTGTTTATACAAACATAAAAAAAATAAAATAAGAATTCGGCGTGTTGACACAATAATGCTATTGCAGAGGCGGTTATAAAAAAAAAAAATAGCGTATATATATATATGTATACAGAACGGACCGCATTAGCAGTGTCTGGGATTTAAAAGGATCAGGCTCGGTTATAATTCTCGGAGGACGTGAGTGAAGTGAGAACAAAAAAAAAACATTTACTTTGCCGGTCCCGACGCCGGATAACGCCCGCCTAGGCAAACAGACTTACACCAGTGCTATATCGGCTTGCCAACGTATTTCGCCGTCTTAATATTATGACTATAATAGTGACGTTATCGCTTCGGGGCGACGGCGAAAGTCGGTTGTCGGGCTTAAAAGACTTAACACTGGGAACGTTTACCAACGCCTTCGGTAGCTCAGTTGGTAGAGCGGTGGACTGTAGTGGAGAATAAAATCACAGATATCCATAGGTCGCTGGTTCAAATCCGGCCCGAAGGACAACGAATTTTTTTTTTGTTCAACTTAGTGCCACACAATTATTAAAATGTGTTGATTTTTGATTTTTTTCGAATTTTTACCACCCGTCGAACAGCCATGAAAATGTTTAACGTCTTACGGTAGCAATTCCAATAGGTCTGTCGCCGATTTGGATTCCGGTGTGGGGGGCACGTCTAGTGTTTTAAATTGAAATCAATTTGATAACATATTGTAATGT